ATATAGAACAATTAAGACTCAGACCACACGTTTTCTGAATAGTTTTTATCCCAGAGCTATAATTGCACTTAATAATGAGCTTAAAGACCACCAATAGTGAATGGTTAGTTGGACTGTGTTATTTGGCCTGCGGTGTAGATGTTTGTATTTTTAGTGGGCGACTTTTAGTGGGTGGGGAGTGTTGGGGGATTTTTTAGTGGGTGGGGAGTATTTGGGGAATTTTATGTCTGTGCATGTGTCTGGTCTCTGGATGTCTGTGAATTTCATTGTATGGGTGTACACTACTGTGTTTATACTTACAATGAAAATAAATAAATAAATAGATAAATAAATAGATAAATAAATAAATAGATAGATAAATAAATAAATAAATAAATTGAATCTGGGATTTTCAGTATGAAAAACAGGTGCTCTAACTCTGAACTGTGGTTTCTCTTTATATAGCCAAATGATTTTGTGAACTGCTTCAGTATAAGCATAATAATCTGGATGGTGATAGCAACAAGAAATGTGGTAGCTCCAGACATACACCTGTTAGTGTTCCCATTGTCCTCCATTATCTGAAAGGATATTATATGCAACAGGTAGTCTTGTACTTTTGTAGGCCTCCTGCACAATTTAGAAGCTCAGTAAACCAGTGTTCTGTCTCCCATGTAGAACCTACACAAAGAGAAAAGGTTATCTGCTGCTAACTTTATCCCTCCATTTTGCAAAGAGCAATAGGGAGGACAGGTGGGGCAGACATAGTAAGCTCATCCTTGATCTCCTCCATATATAGTGATTCTATACAGAGGCCAAAGAATTTAACAGGGCTGACTGACTTATCCCACCCAACTAGTGGTGATGTCACTACTCTGGGCGGCTAACAAATCTAAATAATCTTGAGTGAGCACCCTTAAGGCATTTAGGGTCATAATTCCTTCAGGCAACTTTGCAGAAAAGTTACTGTGCAAAGCCTCATCTTATTTTTGCTTGCTTCACTATCTTCACTGGGATGCACATTTCTTGGGCAAGGGGCCCCTGTTAATTATCTGTCCTAGGCAAACTCATCAGCAAGTGGTTTGTTTGGTTGAGATACCTCACTGGTTGTTTGTTTGATGGCTACAGTGTTGTTGCAAGTTGGAACTCTTAGCAATCTACAAGAATTCCGGCTGATGAATTCAAACCTGTGACCTAGGTAGGTCTCTTTTCAGTGTTACCTCTGGGATAGAAGGAATGGTGTTTTAGAAACGAGAAACCTAAAACAAACTCCTCCATTCCATCTATGTGGTCAGGGATCTGAGTGTTTGATCTCACCCAGCAGTCAATTTCTTGAGAAGTACAAGATTGATGGCAATGTTGACTTGGTTGGAAAGCTGCTAGGCATAATGGAAGCCCTACTGTTTGCTTAGTTAATGAGGAGGTGTCATTAGTCTAGTAATTCATTTCAGCTGTTGAAATGTTCTGAATTTTCTCTCTGGTGGATAACTGTGTATGCTGACATGGGCTTTGGAGAATGGTAAAAACAGCCCACTGTTCTTATGGATATTGGCAGCAGGTTTGGTCTAATTGTTTCCAAGGGGAATTCAGTTTCAACTGGTGTTCTGCTACAGTGGGACCTGTTGTGGGGTGGGGTGGCGGTCCAAATGTATTTTTGTGCTTTGAATGCTGCCTTCTCAAAATGTGCATAGTTGGGGGCTTGCATTTTCTGTTGTTTGGAGGAACATAATCTCTGCCGACCTCTAGGTCTGCACCATGGTTACAGGGATATAACTCAGATATTAGAATACCCCCATCTACCAAAGATAGAACCAGGAAGTCATGTTTATAAAATGGGTATGGAAATAATTAGCCATGTAAAATGGTCCAACTTTAATCTCAAAAGGAATGTATCAAAGTAAAAAGTGAGTAAACGTTTAGTGCTTTTTATGGCTTTTGTTCCCATCAAAACTGGACCGTTCATGGTGGAACCTGCTATGGAGGAGCCCTGCAATAGTGTCCACAAACCCCTTCGTATCTGAAAACCCACGGAGAATAGTGCTATGGGTGAGAGGTTGGAAGAGCAGAGTGTTCATATTTTGGGTGCTCTCATCATTCTTGCCAGCAAGGCAGAGGTGCTGGGAAGCCATTCTTCTCTATTTTATTCCCCTTCCCAACAAATTAAATACTTCCCCCATTGCAAACTTTCAGAAGACTTTCATATAAACCTGCACTAATTTCACCTTTGGTGTGAAGGGAAAGTGAATAAGGCTATATAGTTCCTGCAGCTCCACATTCTTTTCCTCCCTCCCCATTGCCATATCCCCTGCAGGCATTTCCCCATTTTATAGCACTAGTGTCCTAACCATACAGAGTGGCCAGATTTCTCCTTTCAAGGTCAAGGTTGCAGCTCTCTAGATGTTGGACTGTAACTCCCATGATCCCTTACTTCTAGGAATGCTACCCAGGGCTTATGGTAGTTGCAGTGAAACAACGTTCAGAAGGTTACTGTTGCCTATCCGTAATAAGTATGGTAAGTACACTCCATAGTAAGACCTTGGAGAGGGGTTCTGGTCAATTATAGTTCAAGGGGTGTACCCAGTGACTGTAGGATTGCAGCCCTAGCATAAAGTAGAAGAAAAATTTAGCTGCAAACTGGCATTTGTGGAATAAATTTCTTCCAGGTTATTTTTTGTCTGCTGCTCCAATAGTGTTTATTCCAATAATACACTTATGTACTGTTGGAAATGAGGCAGCTGTGCCTGTTCTTTGGAGCAATGAAAAACTTCCCAGTTTAAGAACAGGGCAAAAGAAGGAAGGGAGAAAGAAATAGAACAGACCAACAATTTCTAGGACATTTTTGGCATCCTCTTAAGGTTCAAACAGAATACTGATTACACCTAATCTAAGAAACATTCTGGATTCAGGTAGATTCAAACAAAGGAGGAACAGAACAACCCAAATTGTTAAGCAACTGTTTGATAACTGCAAATTCAAAACAAAACACAGTTAGACATCCATAAGAGCCAAAAACCAATTGTAAGATGATATACATCAGAGGGACTAACTTCTACAAAGGTGTGCAAGATTTTGAGTTTTCCAGAATTAAAATGTAATAGATGAGGGTAGTAACTGATTGTGTACACTGACTCTGTCACCATCCTCATCCTTTATGTTTTGTGTACGTCTCAGCAATATGAAGTATTCTGGAGAATATATTCGCAAATAACATACAGGTTATTTCAAGTGTTCTGGAGAACATAAATGTTTGCAAACATTTGTGGTATTTTAATGGTCTTCATACTGGCAAAGATATTGCCAAACCACATTTGGCTTGACCACAGTGACCTACTCTTATTTCATATTATGCTATGCAACAATGGGGTTGCAGCTTGGTGTGCGCAGAGAAGGAGATCCTGAAAATGAACAATCTCTATTTCACAATAGAGGAAGTGCTTTGAAATGGCACAAAATTAATCTCATTAATACTGCAATCTTAGATATACCTATTTGGAAGTAAATGTCATTTTTGGTGGAGCTTACTCCCAGTAAGTGTGCATAGGATTGTAATGCAAGATAAGTATTCTGTGTTTGGGCAGTTGATCTTGTCAAAAAATAATGTACAGTACAAACATACAGGTTATTTCAAATGTTTTGTAAATGTTTGAGACCAGACCTTCAGGGCAAGAGCTGGAAAAGGAATATTCTCAGAGTCACTAAGGATATTCTAATTGCTTGATACTACATAATGGGAATAATAGAAAAGACCCTGATGTTGGGAAAGTATGAAGGAAAAAGGAGAATGGGATGACAGAGGACGAGATGGATGGACAGTGTCATTGAAGCTACCAACATGAATTTGACCAAACTCTGGGAGGCAGTGGAAGACAGGAAAGCCTGGCGTGCTCAGGTCCATGGGGTCACAAAGAGTCGGATATGACTTAACGATTAAACAACAACAACAGCACATTATGGGATTTGTATTGAAGTGGGTAATTTGATGTCTTGTTAATCATTTTTTATTTTACTTAATCTTTTATTTGTTTCAGTTCACATTTGATGCACAGCTCCCCCCATCCCTTCCTGGTTCCTCTCCATCCCCATTTCCTTTTCCACTCCTTCTAAACTCCCTTCCATGCCCCAAAAGCACTTTAACCTATGCACCCGGGTAGGTGGGGCTCGTCAGCCTTGGAAGGCAGCCCATCTAGGAGAAGGAAAACTCCGATTTCAAACCTCCACTGCCTTGTGGCTATATCCATTGATGGAAAAGGCTTCATGAGTAAACCTTGAGGCAAAATCTGGAGCTGGAGGCAATTCATGACTGTGTACAGTCATGCTCTGGCAACTCCTGTGATGTTGCTGGAACCAGTTGTATTGGCTTTTATCTTTCCATTGGACTACAGTGGGGTCTTGACTTGCGAACTTAATCCGTATTGGAAGGCGGTTCGCAAGTCAAAACGTTCGCAGGTCAAATCTGCATTTCCCATTGGAATGCATTGAAAACCATTTGATCCGTATCTGCTCTTTTCTGTCCATTGAAACTAATGGGAAGCGGCGCGGGACCCTGAGGAAGGGAAGGGAAGGGAAGGGAAGGGGGGCCATCAGTCGGGGCATTCATACCTCTCAGGAAGATTCTTTGGTCGGCCGGGGACAGGAGGGCCCGGCTGCCGCTTGGCCCCCTCGAGGGGCCCGAGGGAGGCGTTGCGAGCCCCTCCGCTCGTCCCAGAAGGGGCTGCACAGGCAGAGTTGGTCGCGGGGCCGGACTTCAGAGGAGCTGGGCCACGGCATGGGGCTCAGAGGTCCGCCAGAGCCCCTCCTGCAACGGGGATGAGCTCGGGCCAAGCCGCCAGCAGCGTCGCCGCCGCCGCGCGGAGGCTGCCCTTGGGAGCCAGCAGCGTCCTCCCGGGGACCAGGAAGAGGCGTGGTGGGCTGGGCAGGAGGGCTGACTCCCTGGCCGGTGAGA